AAAAAAAAAAAAAAAAACTGAAAATGAATTATTTTTAATTAAATATTTTCGGAAAAACTTAACATTTGGTGATAAAGGCCAGGCAACTCATTTACTCTTTACAACTGCTGGAGATGGTACTGACCCATCTTATAGACAGGCACCCGGGGGCATGGGACTAGGCGGTGCTGGAGGCTGGAATTGATGCAGAGTCTGCCTTTGTCCACACTTTCGTGCTGCTGCTCAGTTTCTGCATAATTCTCAGGATTCTGCAGTGGTTGAGGTCTGTGTAAAGATTCATCATTACTCCCACACCCACTTCTCATATTTCTGAATGAAGTTATTTCCAGGGAGAACCAAATCCTGTTTCTTTTTTATTTTATCGTTTGTTTATTTATTTTGGTACCGGGGATTGAACTCGGGACTTTGTGCTTTCAAGGCAGGTGGTGGAACCATTGAGCTAAATCCCGGCCCCCAAGCCTGTTTTTAACAGGTTTCACCTGTAGCAAATATAGCTATCAAGGTAGGAGGCGGTCTCTAGGTTTGGGTTCCTTGCTGAATTGTGGAAGGAAGGAAGCCAGGGAGCAAGCTCCTTCTCAGAGGTTTTCTGTTCCTTGGGGGCTGTCATGTTGAGATGTAGAGGGTCCTGTGGCTCTTCTGTGACTGAGATAAAGGCTGTGGCCAGCACAGGCTCTGGTTTAGATGCTAGGCTTTAGGGAAATGCATATGTGGAAATTAATTCCCTGAAAACCATTCTTTGTTGAGGACCCCTGAAAAGTGTTCTGGCGTGTACAGTGTTTTAGTGTGAAGACTAGCCTCCGAACGGTGACAGTTGTTGAAAGTCTTACTCTTGAATTAAAATTGAAAAAAACCCAGCTAACTGCCGTGGGGATCTGCTCCTGCAGGTCGGGTTGCCTTGTACCGGGCAGTGGCCGTTCCCAGCGGGCAGTGAAGAAGCCCTGGTGAGCCAGCCCGCAGGGGGCATGGTCCCTGGACACCACAGCGCTGGTGTGAGGTGAATGTCTTTGTCAGTGTTGCCCCCAAGGCTGGGGAGCGTTGCCCGCTGCACACACTGTGGCAGACTCTGGGCAGTGCAAGTGTCTGAGGAGTCCCTGCTGTGGCTTTTGGTACAAGGCATTGCTGTGCACCCCGGGCTGGCCTGGAATTAGCTGCAAAGCCCAAGCTGGCTTCGCATTCACAGCGATCCTTCTGCCTCTGCCCAGGCCTTTGCCACTACACCCAGCTTTTGAAGTATCTCTCGCCTTTTGTTCTGCTAGATTCATCCCTTAGTGGCCCTGGCCCTGGTCAAGACAGTGAGTGGATAGATTGGCTCTTCCTTCGGGTGGCGGTGGGTGGGTGGGTCCTCTGTGCATTTGTGCAGTGGACTCCAGGGGACGATGTCATCCGATCCTCACAGATGAGTTTCTGGTGTTAGCTTCTGGCTCTCAGCCAGAGTCTGAGCCCAGGTGCTTCCGGAAGCCATCTGTGTTGTCTGTGGTGGGCGACACGGCTGTGGCACCTGGTGGCTGTGACTCCCGTTTGCTGTAGTCCTGTATGAGCTGCACACAGCCTAAAGCAAGGTGCTCCAGTATAGAATGATTATATCCTAGACTCTTACCGTCCCTCTGTGGGTGAACAGAAGCATCACAGGCTCTCCCAAATGGCCCACGTGAACCAAGGTCTAATGTTAAAGTCACAGAAATGGCTTAGATCTTGGCACTTTCATCTCCAGCGCCTCTTAAAAAAGACTGGACTTATTTTCAGGAGAGGGAAACCTGGATACGCTGGGGACACTGCATCAGCGTAAGACCGTGATGGCCGTGGTGTAAAGCAGAATGGTCTGCAGCAGACGACAGCTCTGTTCTCTGTCCAGGCACGGCCTCGGAGCATTGAGCAGTTGCTGTGTAGATTTTTTTGATCATTACATAACCATCTTATTTGCTCCTGGTAAAGCATTGGATGCATTTCTCATAATTGAAATAAATCTATTTTTATTCAGCAGATCTGGATGAGAGGAAAATATTTGAAACAGCACCTTATTTTAAATAAGTTCTTAAGTTGAAGAAGAGCTTCCTTGCCAGAAAATCTTTTACTATTCATCTGTTTAATCGTGAACTTTCTGTTTAATCGTGAACTTTCTATCTAACCTAAGGTCTAATATTATCCAAAATTTCTTTTTAACTAAACTTTTGTTGGAGGAACATGCCACTCTGAATTTGGAAGCTATTAAATTTATTTCTTGTAATGCCTGAACTTATTTTCTATTGAATGTTACCTTTCTCAGATGAATTTATGGTTACTCCTGTTTTCCCTGTGTTTTAAAATGTTTTCAGCGAAGTCAGCAGACTTTCCATGACTTTCTTTAGTCATAATGGGAAGATCTTCACTCATCTACAGTGTAACAAGGCTTTTGGCCTTTGTAAAAAAAAATATTCACAAAGTGGAGCTTAAAGCCAATTACAGTTCTTCAGCTGCCATGGTTTTCCTTTACGGAAACTGAGTCACTGCCCTGGGCAGTGGAGGAAGCAAGGTCCCTGGTACCCAGCCATGTTCTCTGCACTGTACAGATTGAGCTCAATAGAGGGGATCCCCGCCCACTGCAGTACACAGTCCCCAGGAAGAGTGTGCCCAGAGGCCTAAGGTTCAAGCAGGTAAATGTGTATGCAGCTCAGAGAGTGTTCAGACCATCATTGCAGTCTCCTGAATATTACCAGTGTTACTCATGGTACTGTTTGTTATGCTTACAGCAGTTACTTCACATTAAAGCTGCTTTTACTAAACTGCTCTGCAGAGATTTTCTAACAGTTCTCATTTTTATAATAAATTTGCCAATATTAATATGCATGCTGGAATATTCTTTGGAATGTCAGAGTTCTTCTCACTTTTAATGCAATGTCAAAGTTTATTTCTCGTCTTTCCTGTTGGTTTGACTCTTGTGTTTGTGCTTTCCACTTTACAGGCATGCAGTATGGTGACTATGTTAATAATCAAGCTAGCTCCGCACCAACTCCCTTGTCATCAACTTCCGATGATGAGGAAGAGGAGGAGGATGAGGAAGCAGGTCTGCTTTAGCTTTACACCAGTTTTTGATCTTTCTCCTACTCAAGTTTTCTTTTATTTCTGTAGTCTTAGCCTTTTCAAAAAGTATCTGAAGATTTCTTATGATGAACATACTTGGTTTGGGTTATAGAAGGTCGGGTCACTTGAAATAAGTTTGTTTTGTTTTTCCCCCTTGGATTTGCCCACCTGGTGTAAGCAGTGGGCTGTGCCACTCATGGCAGCGGACAGTTCTTCCTGCAGAAGTGCATCTCCTCATCCCGCATCGTGTGCGGAGCACCGAGCCCTGAGTGCAGCCTTGGGCGGACGGCTGCTGTGGCCCCTCGCGGAGCAGTGAGCCTGCTCTACACATGCCTTGGGCTGGCCAGCCCGGGCCGTAGATTTTATAATAGTGGCGGAGAGCGTGGACCGAGTTCTGCCAGGGCTCTTGGCTCTTTCCATGTACTTAGAAGGCTCAAAACTTTCTGTTATTTTCTTGAACATGTGTAGCAGTCCTCTCAGGTTAATTAAGCATGTTGTGCATATGCTTATGGGTCGCTTCTGGTTAGCGTCATTTTCTGCCTCGATGGGTAGCACAGTACTGAAAATTATGCAGTTCGTTTCCTCCATTCTAACAGTTTTAAGACAGAACCAATAAATGTTCATATTTCAAGTTACTCTTAGTAACTAGGATTCTCCATCATTTTTATTCTTGATGCAAGGATTTGCTCTACAATCTGTTCAGTAAGGTTTCTGTTTCCTGTGCATTTAAAAAATAATCCAGGGACCAGGGATTTAGCTCAGTGGTTCTGCTGCCGGCCTCGCAAGCACAAGGACCCGAGTTTGATCCCCAGTACCAAAAAAATAATAATAAAAAGAAAAATCCAGCCTTAATGCATGATTTGAGAGGGATAAAAATAGAGGGTGTTAGATAGTAAGTAGTTTTTCTGAAAATTTAGAAATCGGAAATTCTAAATGATTTTTTTAAATTTTAACATAATTTCAAATTTAAAAGTTGCAGGAAGACTGAAAAATGCTCCTGTATGTATTTAACACAAAAACCATTTTGTTTCACACCTTTGCAACTTACTCCACATGTTCTTTCCTCTGAGCACTGTTGCAGCGCAGTCTCCGCAGAGGCCCTGCTTGGTCTCTTACAGCTGTTTCCGTGGCCCACGGTCCATCCACAGTCAGGCGTTGAATTCCATGGTCAGGCTGTTCAGGCTCCTCCAGTCTGGAACAGTCCCTTAGCCTTGCCTCCTCAGTGTGACGTACTCACAGAGCACGGGGCAGTAGCGTGCTGTCAGGTACCCTCAGTTTTGAATTTACTTGGTCTTCATGATTGGGTTCAGATCACATATGCTTGACAGCACTTCTGAAGCTGTGCGTTCTCAGTGCTTCTGATTTCAGGCACATGTTAATTTCTTCCCGTATTTGTGAGACTAATTTTGATCATTCTGTTATGGTCATGTCTGCCAAGTTTCCCCACTGTTAAGTTGCTACTTTTCCTCCATTAAAATTAATGAGTCATTTGTGGAGAGTCTTTTCCTTACCAAACTGTTCCCGTTTACCTTGGCATTCCTTGACAGTTCTCACTCACATAGCCTGTATTTATGAGTTTGAGTCTCATAAAGAACACTCGTCAATCGCTTGCCCTGGGTTCGGCCAGAGGTAGCATCTCCAGGCTGGCCCTGTTGTCCTTATAGAATGTTACTTCCAGGCCGCAGTGAAAGCTCCACATTCGCCTTGGACTTGCTCTGTGCAGCCCTGCGAGCTGTTTCTCTGGGGACTCCTGGCTCCGTTACTGGAGAAGGATATTTTAGGGCCAGTGTATGAGTACAGTGTGTGCAAGACTCAGCCAAAATCTGAGAAAAGACAATTCAATAGATCAGTCAAGAAGTTCTTGTTTGTTTTGTTTTTGTTTTTCTTTTCTCGTTTGCAACACTCTGTGGGAATAGAGAGAGGGAAAAGTGAAAATAAAGACCATCTCCTGAGCCTCTTCTGCAGCCGCCTGGCACACACCTACATTCACCTGCTGTCTGCAGGCTCTGTGGTGCCCTGTGGGATGGGCTGAGGAGCGAGCTTGTTCCTGAGGGGAGCCACTCAGAGATGGAAAATGCCTGTTTTCCTCAACGGCAGAGTGGTGGGCATCGAGTTTGCCTGACACATTTTTCCAGGTTTAATGCAAGTTAGGAGAAGATGAAACCTTGAATCATCTGAAAAGTTGAGTAATATTAGTCAGTGTAGTAGTTTTCATTGAGCTACATGGCTTGGCTTTTAGAGAAAGTGCGATGAAGCCTTTTCTAGAAGGCTTTAGTGCCTCCTACTACTTTTCCCCATCTTCCGAATTTTAAACTGTTCTCTTGATCTGTCCCATTCCTTTCCCTCCTTTCCTTTCTTCCTCAGATGTTTGCCCCCTTTTTTTCCTCTTTCGATTTTTCTTCTTCTAAACCGTGAGAGAGGAAAGTCTCCCCCAGTGTGACACACACAGTTGTCCCCCATTTGGTCTCAGCGTTCTTGTCAGTCTGGAGGCACAGTGACTGAGGAACTCGGAGCCAAGGGTTAACGTGAAAGTGAAACTGGCTCTACCCTGAAAGCAGTGCAGATTGAGAGCTTCTCTAATCTGAAAGCCTCAAATCTGAAAAATGTTTTCAGCACCAACACTCTGTACCACAAAGGCAGCTCCACCTGAACCTCACGATGGCTCCCATCAAATCCAGGTGCGCTGGAAAGAACTGACTGGGTGACTTTCAGGCTGCGTGCAGAAGGTGTGTTTGTAATGTGGGTGAGTCGGTGCTTAGTTTCGGGCCCCAGCCCCAAGATACTGCGTGAGTGCAAATATTTCAAAATAAGAAATTCAGTGTGAAATACTTCTGGATTCAAGCATTTTGGACAAGGAACCCTAAGCCTGTTTCTGGTTGGCATCAGTTCTGGAGTCCATACCAGAGCACAGGTGCTGGCCTCCAAGTATGTAAGCCAGGGCGACAGATACCATACGACTACAGTACAGGTGGAGAAGTATAGTAACCAGTGCTATGTCCTAGGAAAGAAGTGATTTTCCACAGCACGCGGGAAAGGCTTTGGAATATGCAGCTTTGGATTTGAAGGATGAGTAGCGATGGGCCAGGTGGAGAAGAACCCTAGGTGAACAGACCTCCACTAGCCATGTGCGACACAAGTGAGGCAGTGAGCGCCGACCTCTCGGGCCTCTCAGTGATGACAGGCAGCCCGCTGTGGCACACGTGCCGTGGGCTCACCACTGCCGCACTAGTGTATCAGGTGTGGCCACACTGTGGTAGGGCAGTGTGAGGGAAGCAGTGAACAACGAGGGTAAACCACAGTTTGGAGCGCTCCTGTGAACATGGGAGGGCGTTGGGGCCTCCTCCAGGATGCTGAGGGGCGCGGAGGGCATTCTGAAGCATTTCCCAACGTGGATGGACGCGAACATTACATCGTGCATTCTGTGTTCTTCAGTACAGTGCTGCTTGGTGTTGGCAGCGGTGGCATTATAGAGTATTGATCTAAACAGTAAAATTTAGCAGAGGTTAACTTTACTTAGACTAGCTCAGTGGTCTATCTGGGTTTATAACTACTGTATTTGGGGGGATGTTCAGAGTACAGCTTTGCACTTAGTCTTTTCTTCTGAAAGTGGATTTTAAAACAAGTGATCAGATTTTGCTGTGTATGGTGGCACACACCGATAGTCCCAGTACGTGGAAGGCTGAAGCAGGAAGATCGCTGCAAGTTCGAGGCCAGCCTGGAGTACACAGACCTAGTCTCAGAAAGGTGGAAGTAAATAAAATTAGTGAGCAGATTTTAAATAATTGAATAAATAAAATAGAATAAAAGTTTATAGCTATGCTGTTACCAAAATGAGCTACACTTTCGGTATCTACATTCAATTTGACATGAAAGCCATTAAGCAGTGTGATTAGTATGATCTTTGAGATAATTTGATATGTTTAATCGTTTATCTTTGTATCTTTGAACTTCATTTTTTTCAAGAACGCTTACTTCTCGGTGTGCTCACCTTGAACTGTCTTGGCGGTGGTGGCAGCACATTCGTGCACTCCTGCTCTCCTGAGACAGCAGGGGTCCAAGTCTTAGCCCTGCCTGGGCAGGTCAGTGCCGTAGGGAGACCTGTCTTGGAAGGAAGAGGGCTGCGGCCAGGGGCTCGATGGACAGATGTTTGTCAGGGTGAGAGGAAGCATGTCTGTGCAAGGGTGACACTGAAGTGTGGTCTGCACTCCCTGGAGGTCAGCCGTGTCCATTTCGTCAGAGCAGAGACCCCGGGTATCGCAGTGGCCGTGGCACTGCTCACACCGCGTGGTTCCCCCACCAGCCTGCAGGCTGGACATCTGTCCCGCCACTGCAGACGCTCCTGGGCTCCTCTCAGTGTGGACCGGCATTTCAGCCCTCTTGTTGCTACAATCCTGGATCTGTGGCACCTTTACTCATCAGGCCCAGTTGCCTCCACCCCTGGGTGTGGGAGTCCCGCTGCTGTGGGCGAGCCTTGAGGTCCTCCCTTGCAGGGGCCCCCAGGGACTTCCGCACTAAGCTTGGAGACGCTTCCCACTTGGCAGGTCCGGGGGGCTCCAGCCTCGACTCCTAGCAGCGCTCCTGCTGCCTGGATTTGGGTGCTCAGTATGTCTTGCTGCTGTCTTCATTTCGCTTCCCTCGTGGCTGGTTTTTTGGAGCATCTTTTCACTTGCTAGATTTTTGCTTATCTTCTAGTTTTGTTGTTGTGTTGTTTTGTTTTGAGGTAGAGTCCTTCAGAGTCACCAAGTTGCCCAGGCTGTGCTTGAATTTATGATCATCCTGTCTCAGCCTCCCAGAGTGTGGTCCTGTACCATCAGTCAGTGAGTTGTTCAACTTCTTTGGAGAAATGTCTTTGCCCACTTTCAATTGTTTTGTCTTTTTAGTACTGAGTTTTATTGCAAGAGTTCTTTGTATATTGTGGATACTGCACCCTTGTTAGGTGTGTGATTTACAAATATTTATTTCCATCCTCTGGTTTGTATCTGCTTTCTAGGTGGTGGCCTTTCAAGCTCAAACATGTTCAATTTTGTTCATTTTACCTTATTTTTCCTCTTTCTTTGCTTCTTTTTTTGATGTCATACTTAAGCATTCATTGTCTTACCCAAACTCGGGAAGGTTTCTGTGTTCTGAGTTTGTGGTTCTGGCTCTTACATTTAAGTCAGTGCTTCATTCTCAATTCTAGAGTGAGGAAAGGTCCAGCTTCTCCTCTTGTGTGGGCATATCTAGTTGTTCTGCTCCTGTTGGTGAAAAGCATATTCTTCCCCACTGAAATGTCTTGCTAAATAGTTTGGCTTTATTGAGGTAAAATCGAGCAACAACATAAGATGAGCCGTTTGAAGCATAGTGGTCGGTGCCATTTAGCACTGTGGGTGTTGTGTGGCCACCCCTCTGTCCATTGGTCTCACTGTGAACTCACTCACCCAGGTTACCTAAGTGAACGTGTTCGCCGCCCAGAGAAGGTGACGTGGCCGCAGCCATCCTTCCTCAGGTTCCTCTGCGCCTTCCTGTCCTGCACAGCCAGAAGAGTCAGTGCAGGGACCTTGACGTTCCCAGGCGTCCTTTGCCTGTGCCGGGCTCCACCGGCCTCTTTGTCCCTACAGGTGGCTGTCTCTTAGGGCTTTGGCGTGCTGCTGTCTAGTGCTCTCGCGCTGGGCTCCTCCGGCCTTCCGAGTCTGCGTGCTGTCGTCCCAGGTTCACAGCCTCGGGCTGGGGAGGAGGGCCCTGCTTCCCGTTCTGTTAAGAGGAACAGCGGCGTTCTCAGTGATTCCCTGTTCATCATAGGAGGCACTCAGTAAAGATCAGTGTCTTCCACCTGTTACTGTACAGCCTTCATACTTTACAGGTGGTGTCACCAACTGTCTCGTTTAAGCCGCAGGAGAATGTTAAAAGAAGACGTAGGGCATCTGGTACTCATGCCTGTTTTGTAGAGGAGGACAGTGTTGACATTAGCAAGTTACACAGTTACACAGCAAGTGAATGCTGTGGTCTTGCCTTCAGATCGTGTTATTTGTTGAGAAGGGAAGGTTCATGACCTGAGCTGCTATGTCCATAGCGAACCTAATTATCATGCTTCTCCGTAGTTGCTCAGTGAATGAGAACTATGCAGATCTCTGTATGCCACAGTTCAACATCACCTGTACAGTGTGGATAAGCCTTGGTTATAATGCTGGTGTTAGAAGCTGGGGTAAACTCTCCCATGGGTTTTTATCACTGTAAACAGTCTTTGTCTTTCAGCTGTAATATTTCTAGCGTGAGGGAGGAGCCATTTGTATTTCCTGTTTTATATATCAGTATATGCTCTAGCGAGTCTATCCAGGATAATCATAGACTCCAAAGAAAATATTTTTGAGCGAGTGGCAGAAATACTTACATTTTCTATCCTTGTGGCCTGTCAGCAGATCTCATCATAAATCAAGTTTTCTTCTAACCATAATAGTTTAGAATGAACACAAGTAATAAAAAATCACATAGCTGGGCCAGGGATTTAGCTCAGTGGTTCCGGTGCCTGCTTTGTAAGTGCAAGGACCCAAGTTTGATCCCCAGTACCAGAAAAAAACAAAAACAAAAAAATCGCATAGCCTGATCCAGTTATCGGGGTGCCTTTCAGTCGTGTGGCCGTGTTACTTGTCAGCCATGCTGCACATGAGTGAGCTGAGCTGTTGAAGAGCCTCGTGGTATTCCAGCCAGCAGCCACGGCACAGGCTCCTCTTGTATGGAGTTTCCAAGAGCTGTGGTATTGTATGAAAACTTATTTATCTTAAAATATGGTAACACTCGTGCTCTGACACCCCCGCAATCCCAGCACTCTGGAAAGCTGAGACAGGAGGACTGCAACCAGCCTAGCAACTTAACAACTTAATGAGGCCCTGTCTCCAAAGAAAGGATTGTGGTGTAGCTCAGTGAGCAGGCCTGGGTTCAAGCTGCAGAACCGCAAGAAAACCAGCATACAGATGTGCTCTGGGCTGGGGATTTGGTAGGTGCCCTCCTTCCAGTGTGACAGCGGTACGCTGTCAGTCTTAAACAGGTATTTGTGCATTTGATACTGTTGATAGTTTAACGTCTGTTCTCTTAAATTACATACATTGAACTAAACTTACTGCACTCGTCAGATTCATGTTCATTCTTCCAACTGTTCTGTTCTTATTAACAGATCCTTAGTGTTTTTTTAAAATATTCTTAAGCACAGTCGTTTCACTCTCTTACTGGTGTTAGGAATTTTTCTAGTTCAGCAAAAACATCTGTTTGACAGTTGCAAGTGGCCGCTCCGGGTCCACTGTCCTCTTGACTCAGCTGCGGTTCTGTTTCCTCCAGGTGTGGACAGCTCTTCCACCACGAGCAGCGCTTCCCCGGTGCCCAACAGCTACGATGCCCTGGAAGGGGGCGGCTACCCAGGTGAGTGCACTGCCCTTGTCAGCGGCAGTCTCAGCAGAAGGGGTGTTTCCTGGCTGTTCCTGTCAGCTGTAAATATTGTTCTGGGATGCCTGAGGCATTTTATTATCTTGTTTTTGTTACCTTTAGCTTTTTCCTCTTTTTTTAAAAAAATTAATAGTGAATAATATCTTCCTTTTTCAGAAAATAATGTCTTAAATAGATGTCGTAGTTGTGTTCTCATGCTGTGGTCCTTGGATTCTGATGCCTTCAGCCCTGAGTGTGGTAGTCTGGGCGCTTTACAGCCCTCGCTCGCAGCCTGGCCGCCTGTGCTAGGTGAAGGGTGTAGCTGCTGGGGCAGGTTCAGGAGGCGTCCCAGTAACCTTCAACAGCCCCTGTTGGTCAGAGTGCAGGAATAGCGGATGGTATCCAAAGATGCCATCATATGCGGTGCTTTTTCTTATTCTCCTATCTGTGCTGCTCCGGCCACAGGCGCCTGGCCCCCCGCCACCTCTCTAAAGGACGGCAGAGCCATCGCATGTGCTCTGCCCTGACAGCGGGACCCACGGGAAGTCTGCATGCTGTGTGTGTTGTGTGTGTCACACAGTCGCGCTCGCTGAGTCCACGCAGCTTAGAGTGGGGCTGCTTTTGTCAGGAGGCGGGGGCGGACGGGGCTGTGTACGAGTCTGTGTATAAAGGGTTACAAACTGCTACACATTGTGTTATCAGAGTATTACAGCATCACTTCAGATCCTAGCTGGTAAATGCTGCAGACTGTATCGTGTTTTAAGAGCTTGGAATTCACTTGCAGTGAAATGTCCCTCTTGCCAGAGCTAAAAGCTGCCGTCTGAGTTGGGCATCGCTGTTTGTCTGCATCACCAAGCTGTGCCTCCAGTGTGTCACCTGGGCGAGTGTTCTTGGTATGCGTTATACTGCACCAAATTTGGGTGCGCTGTGAGTGTCTGTGGCGGTGATATGGCTGGACTACAGGGCCACCACACGTCCCGTGCTAGGATGAATCCTCGGAGTTGAGGGACGTGTGAGATGCTCTCCTTCCCTAAGACAGGAGATTGGGACTCCACGTCCATGCCTGCAGCTTTTTGCTTCTTATGCAGACGACATCCCGTCTAGAGGTCTTCTTTCTACCTTTGTGTCCCTCACCACGGAGAGGTCCCGGCAGGAGACCTGAGCGGTGGGCACTGTGTTGAAGCTCTTACCCTTCTAAGAAGGCTAAGTGTCAAAGCCAGGGTGTACCTTGTGTGACCAGCACAGGAGATGGTGGAAAGTCTAGGGTGCAGCTGCCTTAGAAAGATGTGATTCCTCGAGAAACTCTTTAAAATACCTGTATTAAATCAGATGTTTTTCAGAATGTATTTTTGCGGTCTGCTAACGAATACCATTTTACCAAAAAAAGTATGACAAAAAGGAAATGATTATAAATTATTGACTTGGCTTTAAAAAATAGCCAGGCATGGTGGCGCACGCCTGTAATCCCAGCACTTGAGAAACTGAGGAAGGAGGAGTGCCTGGAGTTCAAGGCTGGCCTGGGCCACGTAGTGAGACCCTGCCTGCCTCCAGAAAACCAAAATAATAATAATGACGTGGTGATGAGGATGATGGTGATGGGCAGGGTACCAGAATGCTAGTACAGTTGTGCAGCACATAAATCTTTGGGGTTTTGTTGGTTTTAATTTTATTTTGTTTTTGTTTTTTGAGATAGATTTTCCCTATAATTCAGGCTGGCCTTGAATTTACTGTGTAACCCAGGCTAGCCTCACACTTGGGGCAGTCCTCCTGCCTCAGCCTTTCTAGTGAGTACTCTGATTACAGGTGTGAACCGCCATGCCTAGTTTAGAGGGTTTTTTGTTGATTTTGCATATGGTTTTAAATTTTTCAAGTTTTTTTCAGTTTTAATAAAATTTTACTGTAATCCCAGCAGTCTGGGAAGCTGACACAGGAGTATTCAAAGTTTGAGTCCAGCCTTCAAGATCCTGTCTCCAAATAAAAATTTTATAAAAGGTAGCGGGGGTGTCAAGGGATGTAGCTCAGTGTCAAAGTCCTAGGTTCAGGACCTAGTACCATAGATGATTCAGACAGATGAGTTCGTTTTTTAAAGAACTGAAATGAAACGAAGCACATTCATTAAGTAAACTTTCTGTGGAGTCTCTTCTGCCCTGGGAGCTGGTCACACTCCTCCGAGCCCCACACAGCTCTAGGGGGTTGGGAGGCACAGCTCCTGTGGGCAGGGACGTAGGTGTCAGGGTCAGATGAAGGGCAAGTTAGAGAGGAGAGTTGATGGTGATGATTTTTTTGGTTTTGTTTTGTTTTGTTTTGAGACAGGGTCTCACTGTGTCATGCAGACTGGCTTTGAACTTGCAGCAACCCTCCTGCCTCAGCCTCCAGAATGCTGGGATTACAGGCCTGTGCTACCACACCTGGCCTTTTCTAGTGTTATTTTGTTTTCCATTTCTTAACTTCAGGCCTGAGAGAATTTGAAAAAACAAAAACAGCAGAGTCCATTAGCTGCATCCACGTGTTAGCTGTGCATGTTGTGAGGATTTGTGGATGAGGGGCACAAAATGTAGCACAGAACAGTATGGAAACGAGATCAGCACAGCACGGAACACTACAAGCCGGGCTTGGGCGTGGGTGGCGATGCCCCATCCCTACCTACCGTGCTCAGGCAGGCACAGGCCGGTGGCTGTGGCTCACCCCCACCCCACCCTGAGCATGGCTGACGCCCTGCTTTCCGGTTCTAGATGTGCATTCTTCGTCGGCCAGCAGCCCTGTGCCGGAGCCCGCGCAGGAGCCGGACCCCACGCCCACCCCCACCGCCCCTCTGTCTGCGAAGATGGCCAAGCCCTTCG